TTTTTTTTTTTTTTTTTCGGGGAGGAAATTGAGCTTTTCAACTTGGCTTACGAATTGTTTTCAAGACTAGTCTTCCAGGGCCATCGTCTGAAAAACAGTGATAATCAAACATACCAAGCTTTATCTAGTTTGCAATGCGTCAGAAGAATTTTAATTTCCGGAACGCCTATTCAGAACGATTTACTTGAGTACTACAGGTTCTGCGCTTTTACCTAACGCCTCACAGTTTTTGCTTTTTGATAATCGAGTTAAATCTTGAAAAAACCGGTTGAATATTGCAGTTTGGTAAACTTTGTTAACCCCGGCATGTTGGGCACAGCAGGTGAGTTTAAGAGAAAGTATGAAAGTGTCATTTTGCGGGGTCGAGATGCAGATGCTACTCAGTTGCAGCGTGAGAAAGGAGACGAAGCTTTAGCAGAAATGGCATCAGTTGTAAATAAGTGTATAATTAGACGGACTTCTGCTTTACTCACTAAATATTTACCGGTTTGTACTTTTATTTTATTATCTGAGAGCTGTTTAAGAAGTCCAAGCAGTCATCAGCCCTATAATGTTTTCTGTACCTTCCTAATAATCAGTCATTTAGCACACTATTATATTTTTTATAAAATCTTTTTCACTCATAGGTTAAATATGAACTAATAGTATGTTGCAAGTTGAGTGAATTACAAGAGAAATTATACCGCAAACTGGTCTCATCAAAAGCAGTTAAGCAAGAGCAATACAACGACGGTTCGTTTGTTAACATTCTGCTTTTATTTATGCTAATTTTTGTTATAGTTACCTGTATAGTCATTGTTGTTGTATTTAGATGCTAAATTTACTGGAACAACGCTTTCCTTCATCACTAATTTGAAAAAATTGTGCAATCATCCGCAATTAATTTATGAAAAGTGTAAGCAGAATGACGAGGGTTTTCAAGGTAATTCTTTCCGTATCGGCTGGCTTCTTCCACTGTGGGTAGTTTCTTTCCAACTGGGGATGATATGCTTGAGTACGAGTTTGGTTGCTTGGCTGTCATAGAAAAGCTTTTCGCTTTTTGATTTTTAGGAGGTCGGTACGAAATAAAATTCCAGTAAACATCCATATATGAACTACCGCTATTTGGCTGCGGTTCTTGGGTTTCTAATTAAAAATGTAATTTTTTCACAGTAAAAGTTACAGCAAAGTGGTAGTCTTTTATTTGAAGGTTGTATAGACTTGTATCCTTCGGGTTTCAACCATCGGAAGTTTGACGCAGCATTTTCTGGGAAAATGAAAGTGTTGGATTTCATCCTAGCGGTTGCCAGGAAAACGACGGATGACAAATTTGTTTTGGTATCTAATTACACGCAGACCATTGATTCTTTTGAAGAGGTTACTTTTAAAAGGTTTATTAATTTTTTGTATGTCATTTCTCGGTGTTGTATAAGGAAATACATTTTGTTTCTTTCAAGCTGATTAATCTTGAAGATCATGTTATCTTTTGCCGACAATGAATTATACAGCTTTTTTCTGTTTTAGGGCTTCTTGGAAGAGGTCTAGAAAATTTTTTTGTCACATATATCTTCCGTGAGAGATCTAATTTTAAGTCCATTTTAGCTGTGCAAGCTTCGGCGTTATGATTATGTGCGTTTAGACGGTAGCTATTCGATTAAGCAGCGTGCAAAAATAGTTGAGGGCTTTAATGATCCAGAGGTCCTAATTAGTTTTGAAAGGAAACTTCTAGTTATTGAAATGCGTAACCTGCTTTAGTAGTGTAAAGTCACTGCAGAACTTTATCTTAAAAAGGAATCATTAACATTTTTAGAGTACTAAATATATTTTTCTGTTGTCCTCGAAAGCCGGAGGGTGTGGCTTGAATCTTATTGGAGCTAACCGACTTGTCATGTTCGATCCTGATTGGAATCCAGCGAATGATGATCAAGCTATGGCTAGAGTATGGCGTGATGGTCAGAAAAAACATTGTTTTATATATCGTCTCTTGGCGGTAATTGAGTTTAGTCTTGTGGTTTCCGTCCCCCTTCAGTTTTGCTAAAGTGTTGTGCTTATTGCGTTAAATAATTGTTGCTTACAGACAGGGACTATAGAGGAAAAGATGTTTCAACGTCAAACTCATAAGAAGGCCTTATCTTCATGTGTCGTTGACGAAGAAACAGATGTTGCACGTCATTTTAGCAAGAATCAGTTGAAGCATTTGTTTGAGTTGAAAACCGATACTCCTTCAGACACACATGACTCGTGAGATAACAGATAACTTTGTTATATTCCGCCCATCATACCAATTCTTTGCTCTAACTTCACTCATGATTTTACTCTTGAGTTCTATTTAAATTTATTAAATGCACTTTGCAGGTTGAAATGCACGCGATGTGTCAACGGATTGGAGGGTCGCGAACCTCCTGAATCGGCAGACACTGGGTCAGATCTGAGCGATTGGTATCACAGCCAAAAAGATTTCCGGAAAGTGCCGGACCAGGTAAACAAAGACTGGAGCATTACGCAATGCCTGATAAGTCACTTTCTTTCCTTTTAGGTCTTGAGAAGTGTATTCGACTGTGGCAGCATAACGTTTGCATTCCATCAGAAGTCCCATGAGAGCCATCAGCGAATCACGGCTCAGTAGATTCCAAGGAGCAATGCTGAGGGTTCCCGGAACCTGATTAAAGTTCGCGTACTAGCTGCGGTCTGGAGGAATGCGGACTACAAAACTCTTGATCACGGCTGCTTTCTATAAACAGTGTGTCAATGATTCATCAATAAAAACAGCTTCAAAAATTTATTTATTCTGGCTAGTTAAGTGCTTGCAAACAAATGTTGGGACCCGACCACTGCCCACCGTCTTAAAAGTTAAACCCTTTTAAGAAAGGAACACAGGTTAACGCGTGATTAGAAGAAAAGTTCAACGGGGTACCACCTAACAACAAGAAGTTTACAGTTTTGATGAGCAGCCATAAAACTATCCAGAACAACAGGTTATCATCAATCACGTGAAAGAACACGAGCCAGTGAATATAGATAAGAAGTCAACAATTATTAGATTTGTTGTAAGGGTGGGAAATAAATGGAATCTTTCCGAAGCATGCCTGATTCACTTCGCCGCCTGTGATCATCCTACAAGCACAGACAACACCAACGCCTAGAAGGGACGCTTAGCCAACAGTAGGAAATCAAGGAAACGAGGGGAAAAACAATTGTGGTCTGACGCAAAACAAATATAAATACACTTCGCGGAGTACATACGGAAAGCATTAAGACCTCGTAGGATGCTGTAAACATCTTAATAACGGAAGCGTGAGATCCTCTCTACAGTGACGATTTACAATATGAGGGAAAAATACGATTAGAAAATCTGATTTATGGCCTGCGAGGTGAACGCGACCGGGAAGGACGGCGCCGTTTCTGAGCGACGGGTGACTTCTGACGCCTCCATGGAGAGATACGATACTTCCCATCCTTTTCTGATTCATCCTTGTGTCTTTCTTCTCGCGTCTGGGCATTACGCTTCACGGTAGAGCTCTCTGCTTCGTTGTTTTTCTGTTTCGCCCGTTCCATGATCTGCAAGGGAAGAAACTGAGAGCAACCCTCGCAGATTACCCATACCCCTAATTTGCTGCGGATATCTACAAACTAAAAGCAGGATACAATTACAACCGACTAGAAACATCTTGCCACAACGAGCCCTATTAGTCCACAGGGTAAAACTTAAAACTTTATCAGCAATAATAAAAACCCAGCTTGTCAAAAATTAAAAATGAATTGACGGTTTTGACAGTTCTTTCTCAACAAACTAAATATCAACAAAAGCGAATTTAACTGAAGAAAAGAAAAAAAGAAAATGATTTCGAATTTAGGATATGACTCGTCAATACCATTAACATAGATCAAAACTGCCAAAAGATAAATGAAAAATACAACACTTCTGCCCACCAGACTTCGTGTTTTTCGAGCTTTATAGTGATAGACAAGAACCGTGAGATAAAGGTTACTTTCAGGGTGTTAACAAATGATAACAACTATTAATAACCAAACTATCGTAAACAGTTAATCATTTGCTTCTTAAACAATAATGTCGGGTAAAAGGCATTTTTTGAAACTTATTTGGCAGATTAACGAGCATCTTTAGAGCCGCAAATGATTACCACAGAAGAGTAAAGAAATGCAATAGGCCGTTCATTTCAGCGTTACATAAACCAACCAGTAATCTTTAAATGTTCTGAGGCTGGCAGGATTCGTCAAAACAGGCCTTATTATTTGTACAAAAAATTATAATTCTTTCGCTGATTTGGATTCTAAAATTTCGCTAAGTGAAAACAACAGTTGCGTTGTCAACCTAACTAAACAGGTCTGCGGTAGGTAGCACTGCAAGGTTACACACCAAGCACATTAGTAGTGCATCAAACTAAGGTAGTAAAACCTTTTTCACTTAATTAAGTGCTTCAAAAAATTCATACCTGTTCGTCAGTCAATGGGGCAAAATAAATAGCTGGCTGAGTTTTAGTTTTCTGGAATAACTCATCGGCAGTCTTAGCCTTTCCTTCCATTTCTGAAAGAAAACATAAAACATGATTCGCTGGGGGCATTACGGGTTCAAAGCTTACAAGACAGTTACAAATGTTCCTACAAAATTCAGCTGTGCAGTTCTGGTAGTTAAAAAAAGTCCAACTTGTAAACAGAAACGAAGTTTTGTAAGAAAAATGAAACCATTTTTGTGACGATCAGTTGGCGTTCGTACATTTTCTTCTCTTCTTGTAGAGCCACTACGTCGGTGTCCAGATTCATGCTGAAGTAATTGTTGCTCATGGACCAATTAGACTACTACCAACCCCTCTAACACCATCAAAAGGTGAACTCTGTGGAGAAATAAAATCAAAACCTACTTACCTGCTGGTTTCAAGTAAAGAAATACCAACACAACAGTAATAAGAACAAAGTTACCCTTGTACGAGGTGACTTTTCTCGATTTGCAGTGCTGTGCACCGGGTCTATATTGTTATCTTGGGATTCAGACTTCTTCGACACTAAACGTTGTTCACTTCCAACGGATATTCGTAAAGACGCTGACGGCTGCGCAGTAGATGAATTACCATTTTCCCGATCTTTTGCTTCCTTCTTAACATCTGGTTTACTAAACCTCTCGAACTAAAAAATAAGTGTCTGAGTCATAGTTCTGAAACTTAAAGCAATAAAATAAGCGACAAAAATCAACTATATGACATGAAAATTGGAAGTCTGAATACTCCAAACTCATAAAAACACAATGCTAAGTCGCATTAACATCACGCACAGGGACCAGTAAAGCTAGCCTACACTCATTTTTTAAAAAAGCAAGCACTGAGAATACAGAAACTGCTTAGCGAAAAAAAACTTTGGTTCAAAAGTAAAGATCTTTCGGCGTCAACAAGTAACGAACAAGTAAAAGGTTTAAACGAGTAGTTTAAGCAGGGCTAAGTCAGGATAAGTTATAGAATAACAACTTAATACTCACTCCAGCTTCATCAATAAAATCAACTTTTAGTTCCTTGGGATTACCGACAGGCCAAACAAGGTTATGAAGACTGCCTCGAGCAACGACTGCTTCTTCCTTGGACGAGTACTAAAGAAAATTAATGTAGCACTTCAAAGTAAATGTGGCAACTAGCTTGTGCACAGTGAAACTTGATAACAAAACCCATTCATTCTCCCAAAAGAATCTTTTTAGCTTAGAACTCCCTAACCACCAAAATAACTTTTCAAAAAGATTTTCAAAGCACCGACTTCTTAGCCGCCTAAAATTCCAGAGCAGGATTACCCGTGCCTAAATCTTTCCACAATTATTCAGTGTGCTACTCCAAATTTGATGGCCAAACATCATCTAGCCTTCTCTCACTGCTAGAGTAACCTAGTCTTCTTGAATACATAACTATCATATATGCTATAGTGTAACACTTTTGTTCCTTCTAGAACCCCTATCACTTTAAATTCAAAATGCAGCTTCTCTTACTCTACAGTGTAAAGGACACACAATTATAATAACTATTCCCATGGACTCTGCTAAAAGCCTCATTCAATTGAAAGAAAGAAATACTCATTCGCCTTAACATTTAAAAAAAAACAACTTTTTTTATAACTCTTGCTTTTTATTACATCTCTTTGCAGCGCGAAAAACACAATGGTTTCCAGTGCCTTTTCGTCATGGAAGACGTCGGCAACAAGTACTTGTTCAATAATGAAATGCCTCACCAAAAGGAACAGTTTTGGTAAAAAAAGCAGCGAAAAAAACTGTTTAAGATATGAAATAACAAATATAAGTCTAAAACCTGAATTTCCTAAAGGTAAAAACCTCCAAAAAAAAGTAAACACTTGACGTCAAACTAAGAACAAATAAATAAGTGGTTCAGACACAGTAAATGCCGCAAGGTGATTTTAGATTGGTTTTTTAGGGAGGGGGGGAGAGAGGCAGGGGATGAGAAAAAACGGTTGCGACACGTAACTCGTTAACTCAGAAGAAATCACAGAAACTGTGAAAATCTCGCAAAGGATAATGAGAACAAATAAACGAAAACTTCATCCCAGTGCGCATTTTAGAAATATGGTGAGTAATTAACTTGCGCAAGTCCTTAAAAAAAGTTAATTTTTCTGAATGGTTCTTTGTTGCAAAAGCAAAATTAAATAAAACCTTATATGAATTTTTTACTCACGACAAAAGTCCTTCCGCAATGTGAAAAATATATTGTTCACCAACAAAATTCTGACCATAAAGCTAGAAATAAACCTATCACTCACCTTCACAATACATTTGGACTTGATGTTATCTATCCAAAATCCCTGTTCATCAAGCGCACCATAATTTCCCAGCATTGCTTTTAATTGTTTCACAGTAAATGGTCTCGTTAGTTGTCTTATTAATAAATACTGAAAGCGCATTTTAAATAGAGAACAAAAAGTAAACAAAAGAAATAAGGGCAACTCCCAATATTTTATGCCAATCGTGGCTGACCGCGAAACCGGAAATGCAAAAAAGGCAAAAAAAATAACCTAAACAGCACAATATCACAAAATTAAACAATTTCAATAACCTCAGAAACGGGATATCGTGCTGGAGAAACTCTGCGGTGTTTCGATCCATCTTCCAATAGATCATGTTTTTCTTGAACCGCGACAGCTTCACCAGTTTCTTTTAATACTAACCTTCCTTGTCTACTATCTGAAAACTAGGCATTTCGCTGGCAAAAAAATTAACTAAAAATGCTTCTACCTAACAGTAGTCTGAGTTTTTTAAGTGAGATGTAGCTTAACACTGAGCAATAAGAAGGTCAAATTCCATGAATCTATGCTAAAAAAAGGTCATCATTGATGATGTCTTACCATACTCTGACGGATGATCATTTCCATCAGCCTCTTCAAGCTTCATCTTTTTCACAAGTTCCTCGTCCTCTGGCTAAAAACACCAAAGTGAAGATAAAAAAATTTCTTTGCTTAGCTAACAACGCATTATTCTTAGATGACAAAAACCAATTAAGGAACTCCATTTACAATCAAAAATTACTAAGAAATTAAGAAACCAGCTAACCTTTGCACTTTTCAACGTTTCTGAAGCAGGTGAGGCGTGTTCCAATGCTTCTTCATAATCAAGCTCTTCATCTTTATCATCGGTTACCATTACCGGCTCTTTTTCCTCAAAGGCGTTATCCAACAACGGCTTATCCTCAGTTTCTGACTTATCAGAGTCTTCCTTTTCGTCTGTTGCTCCATCATTTGTTTCCGCTGCGGACACAGTGATCACATCCTTGTCATTGTCATCATGAGGGGATGAAGTTTCCTTCCATCTGCGTTTGCGTTCTATCTTAGCAAGATCAGAGGATTTCTCTGCAAAAAAATAAATACAAGAGGTATATCACTATCACCTCAACTAAATTTTTGCACATAAAGTTCACCCAAGTGAGCTTTTTAAAATATTATTCAGGACGGTAAACTACCGAGCGGTAGAAAACAAACGAATAATTTATTACGAAGACCGAAAACACAGACCTTCGCCCTTAACAACTGCATCTTTTGAGGTCGAACTGCTTTCCGCTGATGCAAATAATGTTTCTGCTTGTGAAAACTGAGGTTGTGAAATCTCCATGTCCTGATCTTCGTCTGGTATTCTCATTATGTCCTTCAGAACAAATGAATAAGTGGTATTGTTATCTTGTGATAAAAGCAGATTAAAAAGTAAAGCCAGATATATAAGTTTTACTTCTGAAACTGATGATGGTTCATGAAGTTTTTCGTCAGACAACTCAGCTGGTTCTGCAGGTTCTACAGCTTTAGTACTTACATCATCAGTCCCTTCTCTGCAAAATACCATAGCATTCAGTAAAACACAAAATTAAGTCTTTTCACCCTTCCCCCAGTTGTCACTTACATGTAAGACGAAAATTCTCTCCACAATGTTAAAATGCAGGAAAATTTAGGACCTAAAATCAAAACTTCCTCGGAACAAAAAAAACTTGTATGAAGGAACTGATGTCTGTCCTTCCGTAATTTCCGTCAGGCCTCTTGTACCTGCTCTTTATCAACCATGACTATAAAATGCCATCTGCCTAAATATTCAACTTGCTTAAACAGTAACTAATTATTTTTCTTTTCACGTCCCGCCATTTAAAACATAAAATATACACCATCCAAATTTAGCATACGCATAATCACCCTCATTCTCGTAACTCCTTTTGAACTTGGATTCTTCAACACTTATTGACCCCTTATTATCAAAAACACGAATATGATGGAAATGTGGATGTGACAAATCCCTCACATTCACTCAAGAACTAAGTTAATTTGAGGCTTTTAAAACATAAGAAACATTTAACACCTTCCAACGCTTAAAAAGTTACCTTCAAACTTCTAAACCATTGAAAGTTTTCAAGAACGTCCAAAAGAAAAAGCCTGATTAGAAAATAATAGTAAACTATTCAAACCACAAAAATAAAAAAATTTTCACTTCCTGTATACCTCTCTAAAATCAACGCAAAAATCAAATCCTACTAGATAAAAAGAAAAAGAATTTATATGTTCTGAAAAAAAGAACAAAAAACTTAGTACCAGTAAGAGATCCGCAATTAAGCTGAGAAAAGCTCAAGAAAACCAGCCTAGCTTTATAGAAACAAGGTTAAAAAATTACAAGACAACAGGAACCAAAGAGTATACGAATTACAACTTAACCAAAAATTAATTATGCAACTCTGTCTACAAAAACCTCGTCGTAAGCCCAGAAAAAAGCATTCAAACTGCTCTCTTTTTTCAAACTCAACAACAGCGCCACGAAAGTCCAATGATTCAGCTATCAACAATGACTCTGGAAGAACTAGCAACCGACTAGCCCTGTTGGCAAGTCCATCCCATTTCTAAAAAATTCGGCGACAGTCAACTCACCTAACGCTACACTCATCCCTTCCAATAAGTAGCTGTTTTACAAGTCTACTTTGTCGACTTTACTTAGATTCATATCGGAAATTCGTTACCA